TTTTTTGTTTTTTTGTTTTTTTGTTTTTTTGTTTTTTTTTTCAAAAAATCTCATTGCAGATTTTATCCATTTTGAACTTAAAGTGAAATTTTAATATCAAGTGTAACTTGGATAGAAACGCATGAGTAAAGTTCATTCAATTTTTATTTTTAAAAGTCTTAAAACTTTCGCCAAAGTTTTATTTTTTTAATATTTTCAAAGTTACAAATCCATATATGTCATATGCAAAATAAGCAACTTGTTTGCATTGTTAAGACTAAATGTGATGGAATTTTTTTAGCAACAATAAAAAATTTTATTTATAATTAGCATAAAATTTTTTAGATTTGAACTTTTAAACTTTTTAGTTTCTTAAAAGGAATCTTTTTTTTCGTAATTTGTTTCATCGATTAAAATAATACTGCAAAAAAAATATAATTAAAAAAGAATGTTTGCATTTAATTCAACAATTTTTTGCAGTAAAAGAATTTACGATAAAAAATGGATGAATTTACTATGCAAATAATTTTCGCTGTTGCAATGTTCTTAACAACAGCAATTGCTGGATTTGCACCATTTAAAGTAAGTTTGGAAGAGGAAAAAATTGCCGAATTCAGTATTTATTTGAAATTAGCAAATTTTCCAGTCTGAAAAATTTCTAAGTAATTAAAGGTATTTTAGTAAAGTAATCTTAAAATTGTCAATAAAATTCGAAAGGAATTACTTTACGGACGTATTCTGCCGGATTTGTCTGAGGGATGCTTAATCATGAATGACATTGTTGAATTCCAGTTGATGACAATGATTGCCTCGGATGGTGTAATGAGTCGAAAAGCATCGGTCATTATGTCCATAATGTCATGTTATGCTGGTGGCATCTTCTTGGCTACTTGCTTCTTGGATACGTTACCACATCTGAAGTATTTCAGCATGAAATATTTTTAAATTGAAAATTGAGAATTAAAAAAATTAATACTGCAGTAAGAATCATTAACATTTAGCACAAAATTTCTTTTTTCTTCCTTTTTATTAACTATTCAATTGATTAAATGAATGCTTGTAATGATTAATCGCATTAACTAGGACAAAAAGATGTGTAATTTCAATTATTTACAAAGTCGTGTAAGGAAATAAATGAAAAATAATTGATTTTTCTTTCAAATTTTGAAACTCTATTTTTTCAAGATTGCATTTATGAGCAGTAATGGTTAATGGGTTCATTTATACTTTGCAGAAAGATTCGACGTTGTCTGCTAGCGCTTCCCCTTTGTTTCATTTGATGCACTCAAGAAGAATTGTTTTTAAACTAATTAATTAGCATCATATCACTATTGATGGCATAATCAATAAGTATTTGATAAATGATGACTGAACAAAATAACTGCATTGAAATAATTCATGGAGTTACACAAAAGCAAGCGATTAATTAGAAAACAAAAATAATGATCATTAGTTAATTAGAAGGAAAAATAATTGTAATTATTTTATCTTTATTTCCATTTTTTCAAAAAAATTGAAAAATTGAGATAAAACAAAAAGGAAAGGGAATTCGAAAATTTCTTCTATTAATTCTGTAAAATTCATAGACTGTTTAAATTTAATGTTTTTTTTTTTTCAATAAACATTGTTTTTAGTGAAAATTTTCGCAAATTTAAAAAAACCGCACTTTGGGAGACAACATACCCTGTACCAGAATTTCTTGTTTGCATTGGAATATTGTCCGTTTATGTTCTTGAAGAAATATTTGCTTGGATTTTTTCAAAAACGAACAAAAGTCAAGAAAGCACGTATGTATATTTGTTGTTTTTCTCTCAAATCGTAATTTTTTTAAAGCAGGCTTTTCTTTTTTTACTTATGTGTAACAATTTTAAAATGATTTTAAAAAAAGGGAAAAAGTGTAATCTTTAGTTACAAAATTATTTATTATATAAGAAAAGAGAAAGGAAAAAACTGTTTGTTCGATGGAAGATGAAAACATTAGCATACCAATTTTCAAAAAGATGGAATTCGTGGAGAAATATTCCGGATGATTTGTATTATGCAAAATTTCTTATTGCTGTTTGATATTTTAAAATATACATACTAATATGTTCCGTAAAAATAAAATGTAAATGAGACAAATTAGATAACTTTTTGCAAAAATTTCTGCTGAGGAATGCTGTTATTATATTTTTTTTGAACTGAAAATGAAAAAATTTTAAATTTGAAGAAAATAAAAAATAACAGCTGTTACTGATTGCATTTAGGAAGGGAATAGAAATGTTAAAATTATCGAGAAGTATTGAAATGAAAGTGGACGAGGGAACGAAATCTCTACGTGAATATCGGGCAGTTGAAACAAAAGATATCGAAGGGAACGGTGAGATCGTTAAGTAAGTTGCGTACGTCATCAGGAAAAAATTTTATTAACGTAATTTACTTGTATGTTAGAAATGATACAAACAAATCATTGCCTAGATTTTACATCTTCAAATCCGAATTTTGTTGCCGTTTTAATTTTTTATACAACAATTTCAATAATTATTTATGATTGAATGATTCTTTCCTAAAATGCATTAATAAAAAATTTTGCTGATTTTTTTATTGAAATTTTTGATTGCTTCAACAATAACTCTCTCATCATCTTTTTCTTTTTATAGGAGTAAATTTTTGGAAACTGAACTTTCAAATTAGGACAAAATCACTTTCACGGGATTAATTTATATCACTATACTGATATGTTCGATGAAAATGGGTCAAGTTAGATAATTTTTCCGCAGTACTGAAAAGATGATGTTTTGGATTCAAATTCATTATATTTTTTCGAATTGAAAATTTAAAATTTTAGTTCTGATATTGAAATAATTCATAGAAGGAGTCGAAGTAATAGCATTCTAGCAAGCGGTATTATACATTCAATTACATTTACAATAGCAATGTCATTTCATTCGATACTCGAAGGAATCGCACTTGGCGTGCAGGTCATTATTTTGAAATAATTTAAGTTTTATGCATTAAATTAAAAATTCATTTTTGGAGGAAGGAAGGAAATAGTGAGAGAGAGATAGAGAGAGAGAGAGAAAGAGGAAGAAAAACGATATCGCAATATAAATGATACTATACATCTTTCTTGCATTTATTTTAATTTGTCAAATCAAAATTTACATATCGACCAAGAAAACATTTTGTTATTTGATGAGCTAAATATAATATTTATAATTTTCTTTTATTATACTATGATATTGCAAACATACTTCTCATTAAATGAAAGTATTCATCATATAGTTACTTAAATAAGAATAACTTAAAAATTGGAGTTAAATACTGTAAATAATTTTTATTACTACGATTTTTTGCTGGAGCTATTTGAAATGGTTCA